TGTTTTTTGAGGCAGGGTCTCGCTATGTAGTTCAGGCTGACCCTGAACTCACTGTGCAGTCCAGGCTGGCCTCGAACTCATGGTGATCCTCCCTGCCTTAGTCTCCCGAGTGCTGGCACAGAGTAGGCTTTGGAGGCTTTGGAAGCATCTGATAGTGTTATTTTTCTGAGCAGCTGGCCCTGTATGCTGCACCTCTGTTTGGCTTATGTCAGTGTAGAGTGGGTGTATGGGCTTTTCCTAGTTCATTTCTTTTTCATTCCAGACCATCAGATAGGGATAGGATATAGATTCTTTGCTCTTGTGACTTTCTGAAAAGAGTAATGCCACTTCACCCTTTTAGAATATGTTCCCTTCCAGGGCTGGGGATTTAGCTCAGCGGCAAAAGCGCCTGCCTGGCAAGTGCAAGGTTGTGAGTTTGGTTCCCGGTACCGGAGAAAAAACAAAATAGAATATGTTCCCTTCCAAAGGCTTTCATGTCAAATTCCTTTACCTCTCTTCTGGCACAACCGGCTTAAAGGTAGAGGGGTGGGCATTGTATTCACATATGGAGAAACACACACAGCAGGTCCTCTGCCCAAGGACACACCTTAGCAGGTAAACTCAGTATAAATGTCTGGTCTCCATTTGACAAGTGGATTGTTCTAAAAAATTGGGCAAATACTGAGCAGTGGACTCTGACAGTTGGCTGAGGGCTGTGTATGACCCCAAAATGGTGTTTGCTGCTGTCTGGCTCCTGTCTTCATGTGCTGGCACCGATTGCATCAGCATGGGAGGCTCGGCTGGCTCTTACACACCCATGTACTCCCACTTCTTCCCCAGATGTGGCCTGGCCTTGGCCCTGAACAAGCTTTCGCAGTATCTGGACAGCTCTCAGGTGAAGCCACTCTTTCAGTTTTTCGTCCCTGATGCCCTCAATGACCGAAACCCAGACGTCCGGAAGTGCATGTTAGACGCAGCTCTAGCAACACTCAATGCTCATGGGAAGGTAAGAGGTTCTTAGCCAGCTGAGGAGATGGGGCTGAGCATTGGACATAGAGACCCTGAGTGTCAGAAATCCTGCAAGGCACTAGCTTCTGATGAGAAATTACATTTGTATCTCTTTTGAGCCAAAAATACCCGAGAGGGTGTTAAATTTGTACAAATCTGCTGTGGTCCAGCCTGGTTGGCTGGCTTGTCAGAGTCTCTGTCCCAGTGTCAGGCCCAGGGGTTGGTCCTCATAATAGAGAAAGTCCTCTTGCTATAGCCCATAGGACTGACCTGTGGTTTTGGGGGACTGGCCCTTCCAGGAGAACGTCAACTCCCTGCTACCAGTATTTGAGGAGTTCCTGAAGGATGCGCCCAACGATGCCAGCTACGATGCCGTGCGGCAGAGCGTGGTGGTCTTAATGGGCTCATTGGCCAAGCACCTGGACAAGAGCGACCCCAAAGTGAAGCCCATTGTTGCCAAGCTCATCGCTGCCCTTTCCACCCCCTCCCAGCAGGTACCTGCTGTCTGGCCTGGGGCCTACAAGCCAGCTGGGGAGTGGGTCCCACAGAGGACAGGCCATGGGATGCTGGGGGCTGAGTGGCTTCATCCATCACAGTCGTCCTATTTCCTAGGAGAGCCTGGCTTACAGTGGACTGCACCTCTGAGGAGAAAGTCACTTTGTTCTAACAGATCTCCTAGATACTTCATTTTTTCTACTCCTTTGCTAGCTTTTTGTTGTTGTCATTCTTAGTAAAAATCTGGCTCTAACAATCTAAAAATTTAAAAAAAAACAGCAACAGAAAAAGAGGGCTCCCCCTGTGTCAAGCCTTCCCTGTGTGTTTGTTACCTATTGCAAGTGCCTTTTAATGCAGCCTGGCAGCCACAGTACAAAGAACTTCTTTTTCTCTTTGTTGAAAACATGAATTTATGTATAATTTCTGTGATGTGCCTTGTGGACTACCCAGAGGATCCTCATAAAACTCACAGTTGAAAATAGGCTTCCAAAACTGTGGTCAAATAAAGTGTCAGAAAACCTGACCTGGCCAACTGCCCCACCTGGGCAGCGGTCAGCATACCGCTTTGCTGTTCTTGAGTTGAGCTTCATGAGCTGTGGTTGGAAGGCAGCATTAAATGTCTTTTGGTAGCACCTAATTGGTCCTGGTCCTGTAAGGCCCAGCCCAATTTCTCTGTGACTTTGGCAAGTTTGGAAAATGACAAATACAAGCTGCTTTGTGGAGGTGCAGTAGCATGCTTTCTCCGGAGATCTTTTTTTCTTTCTGGGTAGGCCTAGCCTTTGGGGTTTCCCCATGCACCTGGGCTGCAGTTCTTTGTGTAGGCCAGAGACAGCACTTACAGTCTTATGGCTGATGCTCTGTGACAAATAGATTCCAGCATGCACCCTGATGGAGCATATGTATCATGATAGATGAAAGGCTGCCCTGTGACACCCCAATAGTGGCTGAGAAGGGGCTTGGGCGTTTTCGTATAGGTGCTGTACAGAGCTACCAGTCACTGGGAACCTCCTGTTGTTGAGCTTGCTGTACTGACGAGGTGGCCTCCCTTAGGTCCAGGAGTCTGTGGCCAGCTGCTTACCGCCTCTTGTGCCGGCCATCAAAGAAGACGCTGGAGGGATGATCCAGCGGCTCATGCAGCAGCTGCTGGAGTCAGACAAGTATGCGGAACGCAAAGGGGCTGCATATGGGCTGGCAGGCCTAGTGAAGGGCCTGGGCATCCTCTCTCTGAAACAGCAGGAAATGATGGCAGCGCTGACGGATGCTATCCAGGACAAGAAGAACTTCCGTCGGCGAGAGGGTGAGTGTCTCTAAGCTTGGTGCTACTGGCACCGCAAGTCATGGCCCACATGGCCAGAGGAAGGAATCTGGCATTTCCTTACCAGCTGATGGGTGTGTGCATGTGTGTGTGTTATAGGGGGCAGCTGTGTGTGACCCATCACAGCCCCAAGCTTGCTGGTTTGACCTGCACTTCTAATTTCTAACTCAGCAGCATTCTTGGCTGAGACAGGTTTTGCACTTCAAGTTTTAAGTCCCAGGCAGTGATGAATAGCTCCCTGCTCTCTTCCTGTTCTGCTCCATCACACTTCTGCTGTGGGTGCGAAGACAGAAACTGTTGTAGTTTAGTCCTGCAACTGTGTGTGCCAAGTATTTCTATAGACTGAGGAGGTGGGAGGAGGTGGTCTGTCCCGTTAGATCCCTGTGGCAGCCCCAGAGGACATTGTTCCAGCTATTCTGGCTTCCCCCCACAGGGGCCCTCTTTGCCTTCGAGATGCTGTGCACCATGCTGGGAAAGCTCTTCGAGCCCTACGTGGTTCATGTGCTGCCCCATCTACTACTGTGTTTTGGGGATGGGAACCAGTATGTGCGTGAGGTAAGTCCTGAGGCTATATGGGAGAAGTGAGTGAGAGCCAGCCCCTGCTCTGGGGAGGCCGCTGGCTGTGGGCTTGGGCAGGGTGCCTCTGAGGTGAAGTCAAGTCCCCATTGCTAGAATCCCTTCTGTGAGCATCTGGAGCACTCAATACTGATATGATATGGTCTCCTGAAGGTCCCTAACATCCTGACTTCTATGAGATGTGGTCCCAGCTGTCCCTGTAGGCTCTGGCTTAGGGTCTGACACAGTAGTCCCCAGTATGTGTTGATCACTGGGGGGACACTAGGGCGAGTGTCAGGCCTTGACCCTTGCTGGAGTGGAAGCCCCTGAATGTGTTCTCTCTTCCCTTGAGGCTGCAGATGACTGTGCCAAGGCTGTGATGAGCAACCTGAGTGCTCACGGGGTGAAGCTGGTGCTCCCCTCCTTGTTAGCTGCCCTGGAGGAAGAATCCTGGCGGACCAAAGCCGGTAAGACCACTCCTTTCTGTCTGTCATTCTTAGCTCCCTGCTCTGAAAACTGCCTTAGCAGAGATCCAGGTAGCCACAGCTTTTGTCCTGTGTGTGTGGTCCCCAGCCCAGGGACAAGGCCGAGACTGCCTTTGGCAGCTTGGTTCTTCCATAATTTGTATGTATTCATGTCCAGTACAGTTCTGACTCCCTAAGAGCCTCCACCCTAAGTCAGGAAATCCTGACCTTGAAAGCTTTCTATGGCTTTAAAACCTTCTTCATCCAGTAAAACTTTTGAAAAATATTATCTTATCTAGAATGCAATATAGAAAACAGATACAAGCGGTGCTGCCCAGGCTTGGGGAGGGTGAAGGTTGGACCTTCCACTTGGCCTCCCTTTTGGCCCTCATCCTTCACCAAGATATCACAGGCTGACAGTTCTTTCCTTAGTGGACAAGGAAACTGAGACCAGAGAAATTCTGTGAACTGGCTTTGTATCACCACCAGGGCCAAGCCAGGAGGCCCTTAGTGTGGCCTTGCCTCTTCCTCTCACACAGGCTGCCCCTCCCCTGGGGTCCCAGTGCTCAGCAGGCCTCAGGAGTCTTCCAGTCCCTGCCCTCTTCCCGGGGGCTGCTTGAGCAGTTTGCAGGTAGTGTAGACAGACGACTTGTTGACCTGTTCCAGTGACTCAGAGCTGGCACCTGTCTGCTGTCTGCAGGGTCAGTGGAGCTGCTCGGGGCAATGGCATATTGTGCTCCTAAGCAGCTGTCGTCCTGCCTACCCAACATTGTGCCCAAGCTCACAGAGGTGCTGACTGACTCTCACGTCAAAGTACAGAAGGCTGGACAGCAGGCGCTCAGGCAGATTGGCTCCGTCATCAGGAACCCTGAGATCCTGGGTAAGCTTCCCTGAGCGCACCTGCCGTGCTCCCCCCACTCCAGGAAGCTTGTGTCCATTCAGCTGGGATCCTTGCTCTCTGAGGACAAATATGTGCACATTGAAATAACTTGCTAGATGCTAAAAAGCCCTTTTTCCTAGAATAGTTAGTTGAAGAGATTTTGGAAGCAGTCTGTTCTCCCACTTGTCTGGAGCAGACATCATGAGATACATAGATAGGGACACTGAGTCATTGGCTCAGGATTGGTTCGCGTCGGAGAGACCTGTGCACTAAGCTGAGCTGTAACGTCCAGAGCTTGAGTGAGTGTCTTGGTTACTTTCCTCTCATTGCTGAGACAAAATACCCAATGCCCAAAATTCTTCTGGTACCGGGAATCGAACTCACAACCTTCCGCTTGCCAGGCAGGTGCTGTGCCGCTGAGCTAAAGCTTCAGCCCCTCCAATGCCCAAAATTAAGGAAAGAAAGGTTTATTTAGCTCACAGTCTGTGGAGGTTTCAGTCCCTAATCAGCTGGCTCCAAGGCAGGGTGGCATGGCACAGGGACAACACTTGAAGGCAGCAGAAGACAGCAAAAGCATCGAGAGCAAAAAGGCGGGGAACAAGCCTCTTTCCCTCCCTTATGTTGTAAGCAGGCCACCCCCACATACCCTCCTTGCACAGGCTCAGGATGAACACAAAGGACGGACCCCTGCCCCCTGCTGAGTCACTTAGTTAACTTTCTAAACCTCTCAAATTGACACAGTGAACAACATCCAAAGCCTTGAGGGCATGTCCTTTTCACCCCAGGATGTAGACTGGCTGAGTCACTTAGCCAGGCCTAGACTCCTGAAGTTGACACAATGTATCAACTGCAGCAATGACTTTAGACCACTGTCAGTGCTATCCAAAGTGATAGTTATTTGGGAACTTCCTGTACCATCTCACTGTAGCATGCCTGCCATAGAGGGGAGGGTTAAGGGAAGGGTCAGTCGTTTATCATGGAAGAAACTGACTGCTAGGAAGAAACTCAGCCAGCCACCTTGACAGGTAGTTTACTTGCCGCTTTTTAAGCTTCAGCTTAGAGCATCAGTACTTCAACCAGCATATTGTTAGATAGTTTTTATTTTAGAAAATCATGAGAGTTTTTTGTTTATTTTGTTTAATTTTTTGTGGTACCGGGAATGGAACCCAGGGTTTCTGTACCACTGAGTTGCATCCCCAGCTCACGTCTTTGTTTTACTTTATCCTTTTGTTTTTAAGGAATGTTCTTAAGAGATGAGAGTTATATTGTTGTTGTTTTTATTTTAAGAGAAAAAAAGCTTTTTTTTAGATAAAGAGGGCCATTACATACCAAGAAGGGTTTTGGTTTTCTAAGAAGCTACAATGATCCTAAATTCAATAGCCCCAAAATATATAAGACAAAATATATAAAACTAAGCTAGGTATGGCGGGACGTGCCTGTGATCCCAGCACTTGGGAGGCTGAGGCAGGAGGGCTGCCACAAGTTCAAGGCCCACAGGTGCCTGTTCTATAGGGCGGAATTAACAAATTCATTGTCATGATGGGAGATTTCAGCATAATTCTCAATTACTGAAGTCAACAGTTTAGTAAGGATACATGGTATAGGTGGGGTTTTTTTGTTGTTTTTTTTTTTGAGATAGGGTCTCACTATGTACTGAGAACTCACTTAAACTTGCTTATGTACCCCAGGCTGACCTCGAAATCATGGTGACCCTCCTACCTCAGCCTCCTGAGTGCTGGGATTACAGGTGTGTGCTACCACACTTGGCAGGATACATACTTTTTAAAGAAAAATCCATTTTAGCCAGGCAGAGTAGCATACACCTATAATTCTAGCTACTTGAGAGGTTGAGGGGAGAGGATCACAAGTTTGAGGACAGTTTGGGAAACTGGGTCCAATCCTCAGTACTAAAAAATAATTCATTTTATGTTATGTTATTTATTTAATTTTGAGACAGTGTCTGGCCATGTAGTTCAGACCAACCTGAGCTCACTGTGTGGCTCAGGCAGCCCTTGAACTTGCAATGATGCTTCTGCCTCAGCCTCCCACATGCTAGGATTACAGGTGTGCACCATCACACCCAGTATAATTCACTTGATTTTTATTTAACGTTGTTTTCCATCTTTATTGAAGTGTCATGAATAAGTAAATATATACTCATGTATATATTTATGAGTACAGTGAGATACTTTGATATATGTATACTGCAAAGTGATTATCATAATCAAGCTAATTAACATAGCTATCACCTCATATAGGTTTTTTTTGTGAGAACATTTAAGATCTACTCTTTTCTGTAAAACTTCAAGTAGATGGCAGAGAATTACTAGTTGTGGTCCCCATGCTGAGCATTGTGTCCCTGGAATGTCTTCACGCTGCCCAGCTGAGACTTGGTGCCTTTGACCAGCATCTTCCTGACCTGCCTCCCTCTACCAACCCCTTAGCCCCTGGCGACCACCATGCTACTCTGCTTCTCTGAGTCTCACTTTCGTAGTGCCCAGGGGCCCTGGGTATTTCTTATACCCAGTCTCATGTCTGTCAAGCAAGTGTTTTTTGTTTTTGTTTGTTTTTCTTGGTACCAGAAATTGAACTCAGGACCGTGTGCTTGCCAGGCAGGCACTGTGCCGCTGAGCTATATCTGCTTCCCAGCTTGTTTGGTTTTTGAGACAGGGTTTTGCTATATAGTCCAGACTGGCCTCAGACTTGTGGCAATCTTCCTGCCTCAGTGTCCTGAGTGCTGGCATTACAGGCATGCGCCACCACACCCAGGTGCCAAACAAGTGGAAATGTCTCATTTAGGAATCTAGCATGAACCTTTTATTATTTTTTAATTGAAATATAATGTTCATAATGTAAAATTTGCACTTAAAAGGGTATGATTCAGTGGTGCTTAGTGTATTCAGAAGACTGAAAGTCTTACCACTGTCTAATTCTAGGACATTTCCATCATCCCAGAAAGAAACCTCATACCCACTAGCAATCATTCTTCATTTCCTCCTTCCCCTTCAACCCTGACAACCATGAATCTACTTTCTATCTGTGTGACTTTGCCTATTCTGGACATTTTATAAAAATCATACATGTGTGTGACCTTTGGTGTCTGACTTCTTAACACAATGGGTTTTTTGTTGTTGTTGTTTCTTTTTTGTTTTTTTGAGACAGGGTCTTGCCATGCAGGTCAGGCTGGCCTTGAATTCACTATGTAGTGCAGGCTGACCTTGAACTCACTGTGTAACCCAGGCTGGCCTCATACTCACGGGGATTCTCCTGCCTCAGCCTCCTGAGTGCTAGGATTACAGGTGTGTGCCACCATGCCTGGCAGCATAATGTTTTTGAGGTTCATGTGTGTTGTAGAATGTACCAGTACTTCATGTCTTTTTATGGTTGAATACTATTCCATTGCATATCATATGTCCCATTCCATTTCACTTCAATGTACCGCATTTTGTTTACCCTCTTTATTCACTGATGGACATTTGGCTTGTTTCCACTGTTTGGCTACTAAGAGTAGTGCTGCAACCCAGGCACTACGGTGCACACCTGGAATCCCAGCACTATGGGAGGTGAAGGCAGGAGGATCTCAAGTTTTAGCCTAACCCAGGCAACTTAGTGGTTTAGCAAGACCCTAGCTCATAAAACAGGTCTGGGGACGTGGTTCAGTACGAAGGCTCTGGGATCAAGTCCCAGAAATTAAAAAAAAATGCTGCTGTGAACCTTTGTGTAAAAATTAGATGTTTTTTGTTTTCTTGGTTACATACCTAGGACTGGAATCACTAGGTCATTTGATATCTCTATTGAACTTTTTGAGGAACTGCCAGACTTTTCTGGTGTCCAGATGGTTGCACCATTTGACATTTTCAAAGCAGTGTATGAGTGTCAATTGCCTGAACTTGTCATTATCTTTTTGATTATAGCATCTACTGGGTTTAAAGTGGCATCTCATTGTGGTTTTGATGTGCATTTTCTTAATGACCAGTGATGCTGAATATCTTTTAATGTGCTTATGGCTGTTTGCACATCTTTGAACTGACTATTCAAATCCTTTGGCCATTTTTAAATTGCATTAGTTTTTTAAATTGTTGGTCAACATGTTTTTGTTTTTGTTTTGTTTTGTTTTTTATGTCTTTTTGAGACAGGGTTTCACTATGCAGTTCAAGCTGGCCTTGCACTCACTTTGTAGCCCAGACTGGCCTTGAACTCACACTGGTCCTCCTGTCTCAGCCTCCCAAGTGCTGTGACTATAGGTGTGTGCCACTATGCCCTGCCAACATGGGTCTTTATAGTGGTCTTTATAGACTTATAGAAGAGATAAGCTAGGTATTCCTCTAGGAATTCCTTCTTCTGGGGTATTGATGCTGAGTTTTTAAGAATTTATTTTATCTGATCTAGGCTATAACTCCTATGTGTTTCATTTGTAATACTGGTTAAAGGAACTTTGGTGGCTTAAAACAGTTTTTTCATAAAACCAATATTTCGTCGCTGGTTCCAGAATAAGGTCCTCAGTGCCCAAGAAGCAATCCTGTGGAGGGTCAGCACTGATTGTAGCTCAGTGCCCATTGAAACCAGCTCACAGGTGCCTGACCTGATTACAGGTTGCAGTGCAAAGGGTGATAGCTGCTGCCTCCACACGGCAACTGCCCAGTCCTGCTAGCGAAGTGAGGATGAGTTCTTTTTTTTTTTTTTTTTTTTT